GCGCGATCTCGGCTCACCGCAACCTCCGCCTCCTGGGTTCAGGCAATTCTCCTGCCTCAGCCTCCTGAGTAGCTGGGATTACAGGCACGCACCACCATGCCCAGCTAATTTTTTGTATTTTTTAGTAGAGACGGGGTTTCACCATGTTGACCAGGATGGTCTCGATCTCTTGACCTAGCGATCCACCCGCCTCGGCCTCCCAAAGTGCTGGGATTACAGGCTTGAGCCAACGCGCCTGGCCCTATTTATTTTATTTTATTTTTTATTTTTTTTTTGGTAGAGGTGAGGTCTGGATAATGTTGCCCAGGTGGGTCTCAAATTCCTACCCTCAAGTGATCCTGCTGCCTCACCCTCCCTTTTAATTGTCAAAGTGCTGGAATTAAAGGCATGAGCCACCATGTGCGGCCAACTTCTCTTTCAAATCAGAAAAGAAAAGCAATTTAAGATGAAGTTACTGTTTACTAAATTTAAATGTCCCTGTTTTGTTCTTTTTTTTATTCAAACAGTACTCAAAGAGAACAGTGCCTTACATTTGCATTATTTTTGTTGCAAATAGCTGGGTGATACGCTGCTTAAGGCTGTGGTCTGGAATTGAGCCTGGTTATTCTGTGCATGGTGTGAAGTGTGTTGAGTTTTCTGTGTGCTTGGCTTTATGCACTAGGCTGTTAGTAACAGGCTGGTGTTGCAGAGGGAGGCAAACACCCTGGCAGGCCAGTCGCAGCCTCCACCACCACAACCTCCAAAATGGCCTGGAATGATCTCAAGTGAGCAGTTGAGCTTGGAACTGCACCAAGTGGAAAGGGAAATCGGGAAGAGAACACGGGAACTGAATATGGTGAGTGTTACACAGGGAGAAGAGGGGGAAGGTGAAATGAAATCTTTCATGTGGCTCTAGAATTATCTGGAGCTACAGAATCATCACTTCAAGACACTCTGATGAGTGGTTAATATTTAAAGTAATTCTCAAGCAGGTGGGCTACCTTCCTGTTTTATCATTCCTCTTCTCATTCTCTTTTGTTTGGGTGTGTTCTTTGTCTTAGAATTCTTCGTTAACTTTTAGAGAAAACAAGGTTTTAATGATTCTTTAAGAACTTACTGGAAGTTCTTAAATTTCTGTTTAGCATACTGATTAGGAAAGCAGATAGGATGCTGTTTACTATTTTGCAATAACAACATGTTATATAAAGGTATATTCACTAAATAACATTCTAGTTTTGTAGCCGTTATAATGATGACCTATTTTTGCTATGGTGATATTCAAACTGCACATTCTTTTCTGTGGAACTATATCCATTAATATGCTTAGGGTTTGCTTCATAGTGCACATTCATTTTAGTAAATTTTGAATCTTAGGGGGTTCCTTAGGTTGCATGATATTTGTTATTTTTTGTTGCATAGTTTTCATAATCTTTCTAGGCAAATAAATTGAGTTTGCAGGTTTTTTTGCTTTTTTTTAGTAAGTATGTTATAGATATTTATTGTACTTGGGTTTA